CCTCCTTCTACTTTCTGAAAGCTGATGGCGACCAATCGCAAAGGTGTGAGGAGGGTGACGGGGAAAAGAAAGGAAATTTTCAAACCGTCCTGGGCAAAATCCACTCGCGAGGGCCCACCATGATGAAATCCTTTGCGCCGAGTGACTGACGGCGGCCATCCCAAGATTTACTGGGCTGGCAAGCTGGGTCGGTTGGAGAGAGGCAGGAAGACGTCCGGTGCCAGACTCGAGAGAGCATGTTTTCCGGCCAGAAGAGATGTTCAGTCGGCGGTCAAGGTATCGTGTACGACATAGAAGCTTGCCGAAGGCGTGCGAGTCGCGCTGCGCTAACGTCTGTCAGCAAGTACTGGATACGCGGGATCAACGTCGACTATCTTTGCGCACATCAAAATGAGAGGGGCTGGCGTTGGCGGTACTCGCCGAGTACCTCGCGTATTTCTCCCGCCTCATCTGCTGCGCTGCCGCCGGCCACGCTACATTGAGTACTTCTGACGCGCACCCACGCGTCCAGTCAGATTGAGGGACGGCAGCAGTCCAGGTGACTGACCGTTCGACCAACAGAGGCGGTCTCTCCGCTGGGACCCGAAATGGCAGAGCTCCAAAAGCCTCCCCTCACCCGCCTCACAAGTCGTTACTAGAAGAGGCTTGGAGCTGCCGACGAGACCATAACGAGCAAGACTCAGACTCAGACTCAAACAGCCGGGTCAGCAGACCAAGGGCAAACAAGCCGCCCTAGAAGGAGACCACCCACGGGAGTGACAGAGAAGCTTGGGAAAGTAAAAGCCTCATTTTGATACACCAAAGACCAGAATACGCCGCCCGCTTGGACATTTCTTCCCTAACGTTGACGTCTCTTGGGTTGGGCCAGCCTCCGTTTGGCACTCACTTCCCGTTAACTCGACAATTGAGACTCGAGATACGGGTGGGCTTTGCTGTCACCACCACCACCTTCACCACCTTCCTCTTGCCCCGACTTTGCTCTCTATCTTCCGTCTCGGATGCGGTGCCCCTCACCACCACTTCGGCAACTAACCACGATTGACGGACAGCAAGAACCCCTTGCTCCCTTGCTTCTTGCACGCGACGTTAGCAGGCAGCTCTCGTTCGCTCACCTCTATCAACTTCAGCAGACCCGTGGCTACCCTCCAACACAAGCCACCACCCAGCACCATCTCTTCAAACGAGGCTGCTGTCATCTTTCTGGTCGCACGCCCCTTTTGCCCCTCGTACAGCTCGCACCCCTCCCCTACCCCTCCCATCCCATCTCATCCCACATCGCCGTCTCCCAGACCGCAGTCAATCCCTCAGACCGTCTGAGGCACCCCAGTCATCCAGCGAAGTCCTCGGAGCGCCGAGTCCTTCCAGCAATACTTCCCAGGTACCGGTCCATTGGAGCGGCGCGCATCTGCTTCCTTCAGTTTGCCCATCACCTGCTGAATCGCTGCTGCTCAAGTATGGATACGGAAGGCCAACAACAGCATTCCAGCCCTTTACCGAGTTTCCGTTTTCCATGCAGAGCTTGTCTTGGCTTTGCATCTGCCTTGCCGAGTCGCAGACCCTCCATCCGACAGCACAGTGGCCGAGTCTGCGCCCGCCTGAGTCGATAGCCATAATGCACGCAACCCCAAAGCAACGGAGTACAGCTCCGGTCCATGACACTTGTCCCGGCGCGTTCCGTCACGCAATCATTCCGAACGGGCCTTTTCGTCCAAGCATTCTAGGTGTTTTCCATGTTCATCAGGGCTGTCGAGCTTTAATTATCGAACTAGCTCAACCCTAGCATTTGTCACTGTGCAGTTTCCTACTTCTCGCGCCATTGGGCTCATGAGGATGGAGTCCTCTATGCGGCGTGTACAGCCAAACACGGCCAAAAAGTTGAGGAGAGATAACGCCTGGGCTTGTCTCTCGTGCCGTCCGCTCCTCACGGCGCGGTTGCAGGCTAGGCACCACCGAAGCGCCGCAACCCGTATGTTAATTGTTCGGCGGACGGAGATTCTCTGGCCGCAGCGGCGGTCAACCGGGCACTGAGTCGAGGACGCAAACCGTACAAGGGTACATACTTGTTCAAGTATGCTCCGCTCGTTTGCTTTCCGTCCACTGCATCGCATCGCATCGCACCGCGCGGGTGTCTAAACGAGAGAAACCTACTTCAGACTGTTTCCCAACCTAGTCGGGTCCCTACGTATCGCGCTCCTCACCGCAACGGGCAAGCAATGTTCTTTCCCACTGGGCTTGGCGGTACGAGTACCGTACAGCACTCGTGCTAAGGAAGAGCAAAGGCCACAGACACGACGTAATTACTGAAGGCAAGACAAGAGAGGGGAAAAGAGCCCCAGAAAAGCGGAACCTCGTCCATTCCTTTGCTCGGGCTTGCTTGAAAGCAAATTTCCTTCTCGAATCCCGTGACCGCCATCCCCAGTTGTCTGGCACGGAGCATGACCCAGAATCCCGCCCATCAGGTTCGCCCATCCATGGTTCTCCCTTCCGACTGCTGCTCCGGACGGCGCGTCCCGTCCTGCTGGCATCAGAAGCAGCAGCAGGCACCGCCTCAAGAAGCCGACGAGAGCTGGTGCTGGCACTGGCAGTGGTGGCAGAAGCGCATTAATCAGAGATCAGCCATCAGCCGCGAGAGCGGTGTTGCGAAAGGGGGGGATGCCTGAGTCGGTATGTTTGCTCGTCACCGCCCATCCTTGACTTGCGTGAATCTGTTGGATACGTCGGCGCTGCTTGGTGTTGCCTGCGGCGGTCGTGAGTTGAGTGGGCATCCGTCGCTCAACACATGGATGCTGGAGATGCTCATCTCTCATCATCTTCTATCTGGAATACGGCACTCGATATCAGAGAAGCCGAGCCGTACCGTACTGGCGGTCTCGTCCCTTGTACGTACATAGACTCTCAAGGTACCGTGCCTTGCTCTCTACATGCGCTTGTACATGGGGGGAGTCTCTGCTTTGCCGGGCCACGGTACGGCAAGCAGACAGAGAGGCAGCGGCGGCAGCAACCCACGCAACAAGACAGACACACGGTCCAACCTCTGCTGGTCCTTTTTGTGCGTATCCAGCCAGGACGGCGCGTGGTGAGAGAAACGGCGAGGCGGCGCTACGTACTTCTTGTTTTAGCAACACGCCCCCCCTTTTTTTCAGCGCAAAACTCGACGACCACTCCCTCCCCCCTCGTTCGGCCACGAAGATCCTCGTCCTAGTCACAATCCCAATTATCGCCTCTGCATTTTTTTTTTTTTCTTTCTTCCTCGTCTATTCCCACCACCATTACCACCACGCCGCGCCGCGCAGAGCAGAGCAGCCGTATCCTTGTCTGTTTCCACGAGACCCCTGGCCCTGCTAGCTTTCTGAGACTTTTTGACTTGGCAGGGTCGATTGGATTCCTAGGGTAGAAACACCTCTGTCTCTTCTTCCTGTCGAGTCTCTGGGGCGCGCTTCTGCTCTGTCTGTGTCTGCGTCTGATTCTGCGGCGCCGCCTCTCTCCGCTCGCTTGGGTCGTCGATTCCTCTGAGTCTCCCCAGCAGCTCTGTCTCTTGAACCTGGCCGTCTGCTGTCTCGCCCGTGGACAGACATACTGCGTAGGTCCCAGGTACCGTACAGAGTACTCTACTTTGGGATCCCTGGTAGACATTCAAGGCTCCTTCGAGAGAGGTTCAAACCAAGAGTCAGACCGCCTTCAAGTGCCCGTTCTGCCACCACCATCTGCACGTACTCTGCGGCGTACTGTACATGCTGCGTACCATATCCATACCCTGACCACCACACCCATGCGCTTCCCACATCATACCCAGTTCTCCCAGACCTGTACCCATACCTATCCCACCTTGCCTTAGTTCTTGCCTTAGTACCTTATCCCGACACCTCCATCAGGGACGTTGTACCGCTCGCTCTTGCTCTGTGCGGCAAGGTATATGGCGACCTGGACATCACCACCCTCTGCCGCTTGGTCTTGACGTTTCTCGACCTTTTCCTCCAATTCCAAGGCCTCCCCACCTTGCTCCCACCTCACCCCCGTCACGTCAAAAAAGTCAAGGTCAACACCAAAAGACCAAGAGAGACACCAGAGAGCAAAAATAGGGAAGCTCCATCTCTGCCCAACGCGCTGATCCTACCCCCTTCCGCCGTGCCAAACCCTTTGGGCATCCGGGCGCATTCGCAGAGTGGAAAATCCCATCTCGCAAGTTTCAAGAACCACACAGCCGGGAACACCTCTCAAACCAGCAGCACCAGCCTCGAAAGCAAGCTCGCCCATCGCGCGCGCCGCCGTCGCCGTCTGTCGCCTCGACTCCGCCTGGCCGTTCCGTCTTCGCCTCCTTCAAGTCCAGTCCCCTCTACGCCAATATACCTACGCATAGCATACTGCGGTACGCACACGCACACGCGCACATACGCATACTTGTCTGTACGGATACCGGATGCTGGATACAGACACGGATACCTCCTCTACCTCTCTACCTCTACCCAACGACACACATCCCGACACACCGTCCTGTCCGACATTCACACCGACTTACCCTTCTTCGACGTATCCCGTACCTACCTACAGATACATACGTTGCAGCCACGCCATAGGGACCACCGCCCCATGCTTTCATCCAAACACTGAAGGTCCAATTGCTGTTCCCAGACCTCCGCTCCCCGTCCTCCGGCTTCTCACAGGCTGCCTGCTTGATTGATTGCTTGCTTGCTTGGTCTCTCTTCGCTTGCTTGTCCCTTCACTCCTCCTCCTTCTCCTCTCCATCCCCGGCCGCTGCTCCCGTCGCGTTGCGTAGCGCCGTCACCCACAACCAAGCATAGCATAGCATTCGAACTGTGGACTGTTGACTGTACGGATCCCATAGTCCTTACCAGTCGTGTCCGGCCTCGCACCTTACCCTTCGTTGCCCAAAGCTTTTCCATGGCCGCCACCTTCTCCTCCTTGGACCTGGTTTGACCCTTTTTTCGCTTCGTCTCTTGTTTTTTCATAAAGCATTGTACGTATGTACATATATATCAAGCATGGATCCGGGGCAGCCTGACAACAAACGCCCCCGTCTCTCGACCGCCAACCACCCGTGGTCACCGACTGGCGCACCGCACAATCATCTACCTCCTCTGCATCCGCCTTCGCTACCTCCGACGCCTCACCAGGCTCACCCGCCTCATCACTCGGCACCGCCGCCTCCTGTCCCGCCATATCATCAACAGCAGCAGCCGCCGCCATATCCTCCTCGCTCAGCCGAGCCTCATCACCCTCCTCACCCGGCCCAGCAACATCCCGACGAGCGACGACACCATGAGCAAGAGCCTCCGTACACGCCGATGCAGGAACACTATCGACACCCGGCCTCGCCCTCACCTGCGCATCCGTCCTACAACCCTTTCCCTCCGCGAGACCCAGGTAGCGTGAAGAGAGAACCCCACGACGAGAACCTCTCCCATCCTCGACGGCCACATTCGACAGGAGGCGCGCCGTCTGAAGGCCTGCCGCCGCCGGGCCCTCATCCGCCGCCTCACTCTGCCCCGCCCCCGGTACCTCCATACAACGACGATCCACGACGACCACCGCATATGAGCTACGATAACGCGCCGCCGCAGATGCAGCCCCCCACGCCGGGGGGCTACAGGAGCAGCTACCCTCCTCCGATTCCTCCACAGCCTCCTCAGCATTACGAGCAGCCTCAGTATCCTCCTCAACAGCCCGCTCCCGAGAGCCTCTATATTTCATCATATGCCTCCACACAGAAGCGGAAGGCTACACGCGCGTCTCAGGTACGACGATGCAACAGGCCTCTTTTCTGTCAGGTCAATTTGCGCTAACAAACAACACAGGCTTGCGACAGCTGTCGGCAGTTGAAGGCGAAATGCGACGAAACTAAGCCCTGCAAGAGTTGTAGGGAAAAAGGAGTTGAATGCAAATACCGTGATCCCGTGCCAAAAGCGTTAGTATCTGGTGTGCGCGTGTTACTGTTCGTTGCTAAGTATCACCGCAGGATCGACAAGTCGCAGACCGACATTCTGGAGGCAATCGTAGATATGAAGGGCTCTCTCGAGAAAAAGATTGAAACGCTGTTTGATTCGTTCGAGCAAAGAATTGCACGCCTGGAACATGCGCCCCCGTACAAGCAGGTCAAGCTTGAAGCCGATGCCTCGGCGACAACACCGTCTCCCCCGAGAAAACACCTATCGCCCCGAAGCCACCAGCAATCAGGACAGGAGCTTACCCATGACGAAGCCATGCCCATGGCTGTGGGAGATACGGACATCGCGTATCACGAGCAAGAAGACCGCATGGAAGCCGATGAGCCTGAGGATGAGTTGCCTCCAGGTCCAGCTGTGGCACCTGAAGCACCGTCGATTCCCATGAACCATACCACGACGAAAGGACATTTGCTGCAGTGGCCTATGATCAAGGAAATGACCCGCAAGGCTCTGAAAGAAAATGGCGTCAAGTTCATTGAGGAATATCCTTGGGTTCGGGAAGAGAAGCGCGGTTTACTCCGCCTTTTCGGGCGCGGCGAGGGCAACGGCAATATTTTTGGATCGAGCAGCGCAAACCCCAGATCTGAGCACGATGCGTATACCGACACCGCCGACGACTACTTGGGAGAAGCAGTTGCCGCGCCTTCTCCAGGCGAGGCTTGGGGCCAAGTCGGCAGTCTCAGCCCGCCAAACTTGACATACACGAGCAGTACGCTCACACCAGAGGGTCACCCTGACTACACTGAGGCCAAGGTTTGGGGTTATGTAAAATCCTTTGAGGAGAAGATCCTATCCATGCACCCGGTCATCATGCCAAGCGACCTTAGGCCCATCGTCAGACGATTCTTGGAGAACGTGGCCCAGGGCGAAAAGAGAGGGAAGCCACCACACCCGGGAACCGCAAAGTTTGCGGTGACGCATGAACCGACCAACAAGCGGAAACGCTCCCCCAGTGGCGAAGAGCCCGAACCAGTCCAGCAACCCCGGAAGCTGGGCAGGCCTCACAGGACTATCGACGCTGCTATGGTCTTGGTCGTCCTGGCTCTGGGAAAGGTCGCGCAGTGGACTGACAAGATCCCGGATCCCATCCCAGATCCGGCTAGTAATTCACACAACTCCCCGATGAACAGGAATGGCCATCCGTCTTCCCCTGGACCCGGCGGCCATGGCTCGCCTCCGGCGCATTCTATTCACTCTCAGTCTTCGGGCTTGCCATCACCAAAGGAGCAAAACAACGGGCTCCCGAGCCGGCGGCCGTCCGTGCAAGGCAATGGCGCAAAGCCCATGAGCCAGTCCTTCAAGCGGAACTACGATGTCATTCCGGGTCTCGAGTATTTTGCTGTTGCAAGCGATATTCTGGGTCAGCACCGCTCCGGCTACACACTGAAGCACTGCCAGACCTTCCTACTGGCTGGTCTCTACTACGGACAACTCGGTAGGACGTTGGAGAGTTACCGATTCTATATTGATGCCGACGTTGCCCTGCACACGATCATGCGCCGGTAAGTAGTGGACAGACCGGGAACGAGGAATACGCAACTAACGAATGATGTAGTGATCAGGAGCGCTTGAGGTTGGCCGCGGAAAATCCCCTTGGACACCCGCCATTGACCAGGCGTGAGAACATGATTGTCATTAACTTTTGGACTTGTCTCCAGCTGCAAAGGTATGTGAAGAAAAGACGCCGCAGTCTTCCGTCTTGCATCTCCTGAGACTGACTGTGTTCGCCAGTGATATCATTGCCGAAATGCCGGTTTACCCATCAAATCTAACTCGCTTCGAATACGCTGTGCCCTGGCCCTTGATGCATCAGTTCAGCGACATCGAGTTCCCGGAAGCGGTTTTATCGAACTACATGGCACAATTGTACCTACGAAAGCGACTGAACGCGCTGCATAAATTACTATTTGAGGGAATCGACACGGCCATGGACAAGATGCACTCTGCATTGGAGATTTTGAGCGAGCTGCGAGCAATGGGCTGGATCCAGGAGGGCCTCAGGTTCACCGAAGACCAACCTCCGGCGGGTACGCTGATGGAGGCCAGACTACACGCCAAGTACTGGGGAGCTCAGGTCGTCATCTTCCAACCGTTCATCAAGCTGGTGCTTGATCTCTCATGGAAGATGCAGCAGCGAACTGATGGAGCAACACCAAACTCTGACACTACCAGCGGCTTGGGCGTTTTCACTCAGGGCGACGCCGCTGCATACATCGGACAAGGTGGCATCGATAACTACAAGGACGTCAACGACGATGTTATCAACTTTGCCGAGCAAGGCATCAATGCTCTCATCAAGAGTACCGAAGCTTTCCACAACGTGGATCATGACCGGCTTCACGTAACCAATATCTTTGGCACCGCCCATGCGTAAGTTGAGGTACTAGCTGCTGGTTGAAGGTACTAACAAATCTTATAGACAATGGGGAAATCTCTTGGTCTTGGCTGCGGCCTACCGAGATCCTATTCTTGGCAAATACATCAACCGCGGGCACCTGCAAGCTTTGTTCAAGCGAACGACGAAGATGCTGGGTATGCATGCTCACGTGAACAGCACGTTGTTGACGGATAAGAACATCCTTGAGAGCATCGAGAGGGACCTCTTCCGCCACGACGTGGAGGACCCGAGAATGACCACCAGCTTCTCAAGCGCGGCGAGCATGACGGGCCCGTCCGTCCCGCCACCGACGAGCCACCCGGAAACGAATCACCAGGGCCCAATGTCCATGGCATATGCGATGGGGCCCAGCCGCAGCGTGCACAACTCCCCCAACCAGGCATACCGCGTTCTGGACAGTCGCGCACCGAACCACGGCTACCAATCACAACCGGCGCCAATGTAATCCGATAGACTCGAAGACGGCATGGACGGAGCCGGCTTTGGTGTCTCCCAGTGTTGTGTGATCTTTCGAGACTGGAAAGCAAAGAGGGGACTTGGACTGGGAGGTGCCAGATAAAAACTGATGAAACGGGCTGAAGTCGTTTCCGATCAACCCACTACTTATACCCATCATCATCATCATCCATGGAACCGGCGTTTTGCGAATTCGATTCATTTCTCGTACCTACTTTACCGCCCGGGATCGTTACGAGACGACGGAGCAGAGCCCTGCTGGAGCGTACTGCCCCGAAGGCGGCGAACTCGAGGGTCCGGCTCTCGCCCGTACACGGTCACGCGAAATTTGTCGCCCAACCCACCAAGGGATACATACAACAGTAACCACATCCCAGGACATCAAACCAGTATAAAAAAAGGAGGTCAACGGACAAAGAGGGGCATTGGACAGCATTGGGGAGGGGAACTGGGGGGGTTTTGAGGGACGGCAAAAGCTCCGCATCGTCGTTACTAGACGGCACCACACTCTTGGAGATCTGCGGGCTCCCGGTTTGGAAAAGGAAAAGGGGACGGACGGGACCGGAGGACGAAGGATGCATAAAGACGGCTCACGAGTCGGGTTCGCGCCCCTCCTTTTTCTGTTCTGGATTTTTCTTTCATTTTCGCAAACTGTTCTGCCGTTTTTGCCCTTCCCCCCGTTTGTCGTCAAGTTCAACAAACCCTCGAGACCTTCCGACGTCTCTTGTTCTCGACGCAAAACAACAGGCAATCATTTGTTTCGAAAATCTTGCACTTTTTCTGGTAACTAGCCGCATCATGCACTGCATCTCGGGAGAAACTGGGCCACGCGCGTGTTTACTTGTCTTCATGTTTCTCTGTTTCTCTCGCGCTCTCTCAAATCACATGTCGATCCGCGTTGGATCGACTTTGATGACACCCGTTGCTAGGTGTATTGTTTGGCTTCATCCGGGCAGGGGAAACTCATCATCATATCATATATCATCATCATACCATCAAACTCATATCTCATATTCTGGGGTGTAGCGGAGGAGATACCAATGAGGCGGCAGAGCCTCCTTCTTTCCTCTTTTATTTTCTCATCTTTCTTTAGTAGTCGTTGCCAGTCGTTATTTGTTGTTGCTGTCGTTTATCTTGCAGATGAAAGGGGCCGGTGGTGGATGTAAATGCGGCGGGGCCAAGAAGAGAGTGTGTATGGGGGGCAGAGAAGGGAGAGGGAATGAACTGCGTGTTGAGGTCTGAGACCAGACAGACGACGGCGGTTTACGTGGGTTCGGGTGGAATATGTCGTCAGCGTTGCGCGCGGGCGGAAATAGTTGGATTTAGTTTGCAGCTTTAGGCTGCTGCATGTTGTATGTGAGATGTTTTGAGTGCGGTATATATATACATATACACACATATATAAAGAAGTTCTTTGAAAAGTTTCGTGCTGTGTAGGATGATTAACGTCTACTGTGATTTGTTTCTTCCGTGTCTAGAATGAAGTTTGTGCCTATGCCTGTGAATACACGCGATCAAGCTGATGAGTAACCCCCCCTCCAACTACCCTTCCAATACGCCATGCAAACGGAAAAGTCAGAATACCTAAACGCCGGATGATGATGATGATAAGCCTCCCCTCTCTCTCTCCCTTTTCCTTACCACAAAACGACTGTGACACAGAGCCAGCCGTCCGGGTACGCCGCCTCCCTCATAAGGTCCTCGAGCGGCGCGGAGAAGGGCACGGGACTGCCATGCAGCACGACGTTAGCGAGCACGGGATCGCGGCTCGAGGGGAACAGCGTCGGTAGGTGGGCGCGGAGGGCCTGGCCGAGGGTCTGGCGGGTGTTGCCCCGGACGCCGCCGCCGGGGACGGTGGGCGAGACGAGGGCTTGGAGGACCTTGAAGACGCCTGCTGCTGCTGGTTCTGCTTGCTGCGCTGGTGGTTGTGGTTGGGGTGAGGCGCCGCCGGAGGAGGAGGAGGAGGTTGGCCCCCCGGGCGGGGAGGAGGGGATGTAGACGCGCAGGGGGATGTGGCGGAGGGGAGTTGGGGCGTTGAGGAGGATTGCGTTGATCTTTTGGAAGGAGGCGTAGTCGTTGTCTTGGACTGCGTTCCAGAGGGTTGAGGTGTCTGCTTTTGAGAGGGACATTATGCGTTTTGCGTTGCCGTAGCGGACGAAGTCGGCCTTGGGGGATTGTGTGTTAGTTGGTTGGGCCGAGGCTGGTGTCTGGTCTGGGCTTGGGGGGCGGGCGGGGGTTGAGACACGTTGGTTTGAGACATGAGTTTCTGGGTTTGGGTGTTTGGGAAGGGAGGAGAGAGAGAGAGACAAGAGGTGGCGAGGAAAGTAAGCGAGGTTGGGGAAGAGAGACAGACGCTGGAAGAGGTGGAGGGGGCGCACGTGTGACGTGATGTGCCGGGTGGCTAACTCACTTCTTTGACGCAGTTCAGAAAGGTGTCGCCAATGTCCCAGCTATCGCCGTCGCTGACGGTGAGGCGCCATGGCAGGGAGGGCTGGTAGAGGTCGACGAGCAGGCCGAGGGGCAGGTTGCGGAGGAGGAGCTCCTCGTGGTGGAAGGCGGAGACCTGGGAGCGGAAGAAGGCGGAGCAGCGGGGGACGAGGAGGGCGAGGTAGGAGAAGCGCGGGAGGGAGGTTATCAGCGGGGTGTTTGGGTGGGAGGGGTGGGTTATGTGGAGGGGGACTTTGGCGTCCCAGAGGGTCTGGGGGATCGAGTCCATGTTGTGTTGCGTGAGGTCGATCGTTCGGATGTGTTGGTCTGATGATGTGGATGAGGAGAGGTTGAGATGAGAGATGGACCTGATGTGAGCGAGAGAGCAGTCATGAAGTCATCGTGGTTGTCGCTGTCGTCGTCGAGGGTTGACGAGAGGCGAGACAGGGCTGTCACGCCACGGACCTGCCTGGGAGTCGGCGGAGACGGCGAGCAAGACCGGAGGAGAGGTGATGCTCTACGACGTCGACGTCGGACGTGTGGTTGCGGAGTACGGTTGCGCCGGGGTAAGGCTGAGGTCTCGGTGCGGACGCGGAGGTGGGGCGCTTTTGCGGCCGAAACAAGCCCCGCCATCCGAACACCACAGGGCAGCAGCACGCTGCAGCGCTGAATACCAGCTTATGTAAGCATTAGCTGGCCGTCTTTCCTTTTACAGTTACCCGGGCTATCCCTCCCCCTCCCCTATATTGCCGCCTAAGGGGTGCGTCCAGGCAGTAGGTAGGTACGGTACCATGGGCACGGCACACACCATCTCACCCCCAAGCTTGGAGCTCCAGCTGCCTAGAGCTCCCTGGAGCTTGCTTGCTTGAGCTTCAGCTTCAGCTTAGGTTCGCTTCCCGTCGGCCCTCAGCTCCAAGTCCAACTCCAAGCGGCCGGCGCATTTGTCTTTCAACCTGATAAAAGGGCCTGAGCGTGCTTTGGTGATTTGAGGAACGGCAGGATTCTCCCATCACACCTCTGGCCTTGGAATCATGTCGGATTCATGGGTTTAGTGAACAGAGCTGAAGTCTAGCTTTGCGACGTTGGCTTTCGCTTTGCCTGCTAACTGCCCTGCTTGGCTGGACTGGTCTGACGCGGAATGAGACACCTTCATCCATGATTTTCTGACTCTCCATCTCTCTACCTAGGTCCGTATCTCAACTTCCACGGCCACATCTAAGCATCATCATCATCATCAGCAACATAATCATCACGGCGTAATCACGGCGCCATGTTCGAGGCCACGCCCCCTGCCCCGGTCAGTTGCATCGCAGACGTCTCTGCCTTGCCAGCCGCCCGAGATTTATTAGATACACTCTCCAAACGGTATCTCCGTCTCTCTCATCGTACACACCCGCGCATTGCATCCCGCATCGCATCGAATATGGGTAAGAAAGAAAATTGAAGGCAGATAATGGTTCCATCTTCAACAATGCCGCCGCCGGCCCCTTCAACAACCACCACCCCCTCCCCTAATCGGCGGCCCGCGGATCGGCCCCCCCTCGGGGAGAAAGGAGATCAGGCAGGATGTAGATGAGGCGGGCGAGGACCGCAAATCGCTTCTCGCGCTGTGCCATCGTTTTTTCCCCTTCCTTGTTCCCCGTGTCCAGGGCTGCCGGGAAAACACGCATTTACCGCTTCCCGCATCACGCATGCCAAAGTGCGAGCGAAGATAGATGTCGTGGCCATGGAGACGCACATGACCCGGCCGATCACTTACTCCCTCCCCCCTCGCTTCGCCTGCCAACCACCATGCGTAGAAAAGACCGTTCGAATCATCACACCAGGCTGACATGCGGCTTCCGTTCGCCGTCACGGTGGGAGAGAGACTCCTGGCACTTCTTATTTGTCCGTAATCATGGCTCTGCGGGAGTGAGCACCGGTGGTCATCGTGCTTGCCCACAAATATCCCGGGCAAACATCACACACTAACACACGCTGACTTGCACACACCCACGCCGCACGCACGCACGCACACCCGCCTCTCACGTCGCACAGCGCATACAGCACACACACACACTCAATAATCCCCTCTGCCGATGCAACGCGAGAGAGGAGGGCCAAGAGGGTACACCGCAGCTTTTTGCGCGAGAGACATGGAAGCAAAAGCAGGAGGGATATGGACAAGGAAAAAGCAAGAACACACACCGCGTGCACACTCCCACGCCGTGGGCTCCTCCGAGACAACCCTCAGTAGTTGGTTACACGAGAAACGCCAGATACACACCCTCTCCGACTCAGCCAACCAACACCTCTCAAGCACGAACAATCTCCGCCATGCTTTGGTGAGATTCAGAGGTAGTTAGGCCAAAAAGCTCCGCTTCGTCTTTTTTCTCGGAGGTCACTGAGACACGAACAGCTCTGCTATGCTTGCTTTTTCCTTGCGCGTGTGCGTTTTTGCTTGCTTTCTTTTTTCAATTCCGCCTTTTTGCTTTCCCCAGTCTTGGATTCGGAGGTTCTCAGCGTCGCCGGCTCCCCCAATCCCATGCCTCCCTCCCTCCTCCCCATATGCGCCGTTCCCGTCGATACATGATTGCCCATCAGTATGGGGGCGGGATGGACGCCTTAGACGAGCTGTCTGCTTCTCCGTCTCTCCACTCTATGCCGAACCGATCCAACCACGCAAAGAGCTCACGCACGAGGCCGCCTTTGGGGGGTGTGGGCGTTGATGTACTGTACAGAGTCGACCAAGGATGCAGCCCGCTGTGCAGGCGCAAGAGAGACAGGCGGCGGCGGGACAGCCAGGGAGAGCAGAACGAGACTCGACTGCAGTATCTCACATCCCCATCTTACCATCTCGGCGGTCAAGCGATGTCTGGCCCTGCCGCGCCTGGCCTCGCCTGGCTGTGGTCTGAGGAGTGGGCATCAAATTCCCTTTTTTTGGGCGGTCGCCTGAACCTCCAACAAGCCCACGCAGCAACCGAGAGGGGAATGGGGATGGGGGAGGCTCAAAAATGCGATCAAAAACAACAGACAAAACAGACGTCTCTCATCTCACATTTGCGTCCCGCGAAGAGAATGCCATATCGATGCCTCTCGACCGGCTTAGCGCAGTTGAGTAATCGGCAATCGGGGACGCGCTATCAGATTTTCCTCAGATTGAACCCCTGTCGCCCGCCCTCACGGAGTACCTAGTGTACCATGTAACGCACGACGGCCACGACTCTTCGCTCGAGGGTCGAAAGATGGGGACTCGTCGCGACGTGTAAGAACTTCTTTGCTTTTTCCTGCACAACGAATGGTATTCTCTGGGCGCCGCTGCTGATGGTGGATATATCTGGCATGTCAGGTCCTCCGCCTCCTCCTCATCATCAGTCATCATCACGCGTCCCCCAGTCTCTGCAGTGCGTGCCGTCTGTCTGTCCTGTCCTGTCCTGCTCATCCTCACACCCCCTCCCCATCCTCTTATCACTTCTCACACTCGACAGAATCACTCAAACGAGATGGCCTGCGCAAGCACCTACAGCACCGCAGCACGCGCTGCAACGCTCTCACTCACCCTGTTTAGTTGCTGTGCTTCCCTGCCTTGCCTGCCTTCCGTCCTCTCCTTGCTTTCCCGTGCCCCAAAGTACCTCTCAAGTCGAGTGACTTGTCCGCAACTTTGTGCGACTTTGCTACGCAACGAGCCCCCAACTCTTGTTCTGGTTCGCAACCCCCCCCGTCCCCGTCCGTCTGGGGGCGGCCATTGCATGCATGCATGCATGTGCCCAGGGCCGATTCACTGGATGAAAAATAATAATAACAAAATGCTGCTGTTATTTTTTTTCGCTCTCTTAAGAAGCAGAAGGGCCCCTGTCAATGAAGCTCCCGTGCTGCACACACGCCCTCGTGATGGTGATGGCGAAGAAACCCCCCTGCTATTTCACACGCTTTTGATCACTTTCCCATCACAATCCATCACTCCCAGTATGCCGTCCCACGATGGCCGCAAAAGGCCGGAAACCTGAAAATCGCGAAAACTGTCAAATTCCCCCATCTTCCAAACCATTGACCGCCAGGCACACGCACACCTTCGTCTCCAGAGGCTGCTCCCCAAACGGAATCCCCCCTACCCGTCAAAGTCCCGTCGGTCCCCAATCTGGTTTAGGCTTTTCCAGCACAGCACACCAGCAGCCACGACACCGTCCTTCCCGCGCCCTGCGTCCCAGGAGCTTTCCCCCAGCACCCAACCCCCATCCCGTCCCTGTCCCCGTCACCGATCCCGGTCAGAATCACACTTTACAGAAGAAGGGTCCCCTATATCATCGAGACGCCTGGGCCTTCTCCCGGGGTTTGTAGTTGTGTGTCTGTGTGTGTGCCAACCTGCCTGCCTATCTACCTACCTAGCCGTAAACAGGTCACCAAACCTGGCAGACAGGCAAGCCACCCACTGAACCCTCCCCAAGGCAAACGCCATCGCTATCCCGCTACCGCCTACCCGTCCACACAATCCCGGCCGTAGGGGGGCGCGGGAGAGGGACCCAAGGGAGAGCGAGACGGGCTCAAGACAATCCCATGGCACCGGGTCGCCGCCGTTCCCTCCAGCTCTTGCACGCCCAGGGCCCAGAACAAAAGGATCGTCCTCTTCCGTCCTGGCTGGTGGTTTTTTCAGAACGCCACAACGCCCTGCCTTCCGCTACTGCTTGAACAATCTTGTTGTTGCCCAAACGAAGGCTCCTTTCCCAGCTGAAAGAAACACTCGCATCAACCACGCGGGACCTAGAAAGGGCCGGCGCATAGGGGGCACACCCGTAAACTAGCGCCGCATGCTGGGCTAGCTAGCCATCTGTGCCTTGCTTACGGCACAGCAGGTAGAAAGCTGCCGCTTAACGCTTCCAGCAAGAAAAGCTCTGCCTGCCTGCCCGCACGTGTCTGGATTCTTTCCTTGCCTGCCGCTGGGTTGCTTGCGAGCAGAGCCAGGCCAAGGTTTGTTAGTTAGTTGATGGTTAGTTCGGCATGTCTCAGCCAATCCAACCCAGAATACTCCTGTCCCATCAGCTTTGCTGCCTGGAACAACCACCAACACCGAGCTTCCGTCACGGAAAGCTAGGTAGATAGCTCATTACTCGCTGAAATATTACAGCGCCGGCGACGTCGGCATGCTCGCTCGCCAAACTTCACAAACAGCCAAGCGCTACCCACCCCTGGCCGTCACCCACGGCATATCCCGCGGCTCCCAAACGGCATACACAAGGTCGCGAACAACTTCACACACAGGGTCCCTCTTGACGTGTGGGTGTGGAGGTTGCAGGCGGCCGGGACGGTGTTTGCAGCCTAGACTTGTACTGCTTGATATACAGCTAACTCCTCGGCCTGAAGGGATGTGTTGAGGGCTGGCCGGTGAGTACAAGCCAGCTAGCTATCAAAGGCAAGGCTTCCCGCAGGCGAGGAGCGGTAAAGCAGGAGGGATGGCAAGTTCGCAATGCCCCCCCCCC